TTTCTATTTTTTTTTGTATTATTATTAAATGAAATTTAGAATAGTCTGTAATTTTTTCAAGTAGTTCTTAACATATTGCATTTGCCTTACAATCTTCTTAAGAATAATTAATATTAAACAAGACTCCAAGGATTAAATCTATAAAGGAATATAAAGCCACTGAGAGTCGACACAGTTGTACGTGTGTAGTCAAAAATAATGTATATGTCAATCACTAATTACAAATGTTTCGATATATAGGATTAGGTCATCTTTAGTGTAACAATTATTCATCGGAATTAAATTTGATGCGTTGTAACACAATAAAGTAGATGTTGTCGATGAATCATCGCTATAGGCTGTGTTGTCCAATTAAGAACTTCATTATTGTCTGTTGTACTTAGCTGGATACCCAAACAAGAATTCAATCATTTAAATTGTACTCAGCGTAACGATGATCTGTTATAACGCGATGTAATTATAATAATGTCTTGAGAGCGTGTGTTAAGAATAATTACTCTGAATAAAAAGTACAGTGAGAGCAAAAAGTATTCGTACAAGGAAATTTGTTATAAAAAAAAGTCTTATTTGTAAAAAATAAACATTAATTAGCAATTTTATACAATGAATACATTCTGTTCTAACATAAACAAACAAGCTTGGTATGTATATACCTGATTTTAGAAGCTATAGCTATATATATACGAATAAAAATCAGGTATACATAAAGAATAAAATAGACTATATGTTTCTTAAAATTATATATATATATATACCAAAAAGATGTGTATTAATTATACAAAATATATTATCTGAAAAATAAGCGAAAATTAAAACTTTTTGAGCATTCAAACAATACAATTTTTTATTTTCGCTTATTTTTTAGATAATATATTTTGTATAATTAATACACATCTTTTTGGTATATATATAATTTTAAGAAACATACAGTCTATTTTATTCTTTATGAATAAATTGTTAATTATTCAACAAGAAATAATCGTCAATTAAACGCCGAATCGACATCAAATTGATGTTGAAGTCATCGTATTTATATCGATTCGACATCAATTCGATTACTCATTTCTCGCTGGATAATATTTATTTTTAAAAAATAAAGTTTTTTTTAAAAAATATTTTCTTTAGAAATACTTTTTGCACTCACTGTATTTAAGACAATCTCAAATATAAAAATCGACTACTGAATACCGGCCTTCGATCGATTCTTGTATTTGAGATTGTCTCAAGTACAGACTTAGGATGCCATAAAGCCAGTCAGAGGGCTGTATTAGCATCTTAAGACATTACTTAAGACGATCTTAAAATAAGAATGAATTATGAATACCACCTTGAGACACGAACAGCGA